TAAATTTCCATGTTTCTACAATGCCTCAAGTCACTACAAAGCAAGGTCTGTGCTCAATGCTGATCTTAATGCACCAAAAAAAAAAAAAAAATGCCTTTAAGTATGTTTAAGTATGTTCTTCCTTCACATAATAGACTTCACTGGGCAGCGGGCCAATATTGACAGTCCATTGATCTGTTATTAACATTGAACTTAAGCTAGGTACACAAGTCATTTTGTTTATTATGATTATGTTAGGCAAAGGCGCTATCATTCCGTAAATCCATAGTAGACAGAAGTAAAAAGAAACACTACAAGTCATGCATTCATGTGGGGAACAATTGCTGAACCCGAAGCATCCCAGCATAATGCTAGACATAGGAGACACCGTAAAGCAATACTGTGCCTTTCTCAAGGACGTATCATCATGCAAAGATTTTGTTTTGTATTTAAAGTTTTTTGTGTGATAAAATGCATATAACAAAAAGTTTTCTTTTTTGGTGATTTTTAGTGTGTAAGTCAGTAACATCTATTATATTCACAATGTTGTACTTAACATCACCACTATGCATTTTCAGAAGTTTTATAACACCCGAAACAGAAACTCAGTACCCCTTCAGCAGTTACTCTGATTCCCTTTCCCCTCAACTCCTGATAACCACAATTAAACTCGGCCTCTATGCACTTGCCCACTCTAGCTGTTTCATATATGTATTATGAATATGTATACAGGATTTGGCCTTTTGTGTCTGACTTACTTCTCTCCGCATCATGTGTTCAGAACCCATCTATGTCACAGCCTGCACCAGGACTTCATTCTATTTATGGCAGATTACTAAACCATCATATGTACTGCATTTTGTTTATCTCCATCTGTGGAGTGACACGTGAATTATTTCCACCTTTGGGCTATTGTGTCTAGTGCTGTAATGAACACTGGTATACATGTATCTGAGTCCTTGCTTTCATGGCTCTTGGAAGACCACCTAGGAGCAGAATTGTTGGTTCAGTTGGCAACTGTATGTCTAACTTTTTGAGAAACTGCCAAGCTTTGAGAAACTGCCAAACTGTTTTCCATAGTGACTGCATCATTTTACATTTCCATTAGCAATGCATAGAGTTCTCATTTCTCCACATCCCGACCAGCACTTGTTAGTTTTCCATTTTTGATCAGAATCAGTTTGTTGTTGTTGTTGTTGTTTGTTAAGTGCTGGGAAGCCGATTCCAACTCATAACAACCCTGTATGGGGTTTCTGAGGAGCATCTGGTTGCTGGTTTTGAACTGCTGACCATGTGGTTCGCAGTCCATTGCTCATCCTACAGCGTCACACCAGAACCATCCTAATGGGTATGATTATGCAGTGATTTTTTAACTGAGATTATAAACTACAGAATTTAATTTTGAGGGGTAGGACTGGGCATACTTGGATGTTGAAAAGCCTTACTAGTGATTATACTGCACATTTCTATTAGGAACCATTGAATTGGAACATAGTAGAAAGAATCTCAAAACTCAAACTATTTCATCTTCATGCCTCTCCCACATGTATTGCATCACACAAATATGGTTCCCAGGTGGCACAAATGGTTTGCACTACAGTGCTAACCTAAAGGTGAGCTGTTTGAGCCCACCTAGCCTTGGCTCTTTGAACCCACCTATGGAACAGTTGTATTCTGTAACACGTGAATCACCATGAATCAAAAACTCTATACAAATAACAACAGCATACACCAAAAAATTATTATGGAAGGTCTACCAATCAGAATCAGTCAGAAGAGCAAACTACACACATTTTGCCATAATTCAACCTTTACCAGAAGTGATGACCTTCACAATCTGAAACAGTGGCTGATAGTTTGTTTACTCTTGCAAGGAGTAGCTACTTAGCACATTGGAACCAAGATTAAGTCTTCTCTGGATTTGTTTTTGTGGGGTTTTTTTTTTTCTTCTTCTTTTACATCTTGATACAAATTAATGGTCTCTGCTTCGGACAAGACTTTGCCTATTGTTAGAGTTTGCGTTCTTTAAAACTAGAAATAAAGCTATGCTTATATTCAGTTCATCTGTTTTATTTGCAGGATATGTATGATTAGTGAGTACAAAGAATATATTTATAAAAATTCATATAAAGTGTATAAGATTGGTGAAGATATAAGAAAAGCATAAGAAACTATGCAGTTTAAGTTATTGCCTATTGTTGTGGTTATGTGCCATGGAGTCGGTTCTGGCTCATAGCGACCCTGTAACAGGGTTTCCAAGACTGTAAATCTTTACAGGAGCAGAAAGCCTCATCTTTCTCCCGTGGAACAGCTGGCAGTTTCAAACTGCTGACCTTGTGGTTCACAGCCCGATTCGTAACCACTACGCTACCAGAAAATTATGTTAATTCTTCTAAAAATAAAATGGTATAATTTTAACATTTACAGAGTCACGATGAGTCAAAACCGACTTGATGGCACTGACAACAAAAACAACAATGTGCAATGATTTGGACTTAAGATATTCTGAATTAAACATAACACATATCTTTGTTGTTAAGTGTCATTGAGTCAGTTCCAACTCGTAGCGACCCAGTATAGGGTTTCCAAGGAACGACTGGTGAGTTTGATCCATTGACCTTGCAATCCTTTGCTTATCCTGTAGTGTCATGCCAGAAGTCCAATATAACACATACCTAACGTCAAAGAGGAGGAGTCCTGGGGTAGTGCTGTGGGTTAATGAGCTGGACTGCAAGGTCAGTTTTAACCACAAAGGTCAGCAGTTCAAACTCACCAGTTGCTCCTTGGAAACCGTATACAAGGTTGCTATGGGTTGGAGCCGACTCAGCACTTAACAACAGTAGCCTCAAAGAGTGCAATCTGATGGGGAAAAAACAGATGCTTACACAGCTAATTAAAACTTAAGTCAGATTAACAAGTACACACATATAACGTAGGGTATTATAAAAGTACAGAGGAAATGAATAATTTGAGGTTGGAGATGAAAACGTTGTAAGAAAGTTGCAGCGTGATTTGGACCATATGGGCAGGAACAAGAGGCACAATGCTTTCCCCTTCCTTCACAGATTTTTCACTGGTTCAGCAGTCCCAAGAGAGGGATGCCACTTCAGACTGGCACCAGAAAGTTCTTCCTGAGGAACAAATTGCAGTAAAACCTGAAAAAGCCAGTACATGTGTAAGGAGAAAACCTGTCAGAGAAGAAAAAAATATTTTACATTTCCACGAGCTCTGGTAGCGTATTGGTTACAAGTTGGGCTGCTAGCTTCAAGGTCAGCAGCTTGAAACTACCAGCCATTCTTCAGGAGAAAGATGAGGCTTTCTGCTCCTGTAAAGATTTACAGCTTCAGAAATCCCATACAGGGTCGTTATGAGTTGGAACCAACTCCACGGCACATAACCAACCAACCAAGCAGTAGCATAGAGAAGTGACAAGACTGCATCCTGTCAAAGGCAGGCAACTTACAAGTCTCATTAACAAGCCACTACAGTGAGGAGTTCTGGTAGCGTAGTGGTTACAAATCAGGCTACGAACCTTAAGGCCAGCAGTTCGAAACTACCAGCCACTCTGCGGGAGAAAGATGAGGCGTTCTGCTCCCATAAAAGATTTACAGCCTCAGAAACCCTGTACAGGGTCGCTGTGGGTCGGAACCATGCAGGAGAAAGATGAGGCGTTCTGCTCCCATAAAAGACTTACAGCCTCAGAAACCCTGTACAGGGTCGCTGTGGGTCGGAACTGACTCAACGGCACTTAACAACAACCAGTGGGGCCCCAGCTCTCGCAGGTTTCACTGTATCCCATATAAAACCCCCATGCTGTCAAGTCGATTCTAACTCATCAACCCTATAGGACAAAGTAGAACTGCCCCACAGGGTTTCCCAAGGCTCTAATCTGTGCAGAAGCAGATTGCCACATCCTTCGCCCACAGAGCAGCTGGTGGGTTCGAACTCCCAACCGTTCAGTTAGCAGTGGAGTGCTTTAACTAATGTGTTACCAGGGCTTCCATATACTTCTTTGCACAGAATAAACGTCAGCCTTACCCTTTAACCCTAACTAACTGTGCACACCCAAAGCAGCAGATCTTCTGTAAACATGTGCCTAAAGAAGAGAGAAGACCGCAGCTAGTTCATGTCTGTCCCCCTCCCTGACACCTGGCCCAACATAGAGGGAAACTGCCAAGCCACTGGGCAGAGTTGGCAGAACACAGATGTTCTTTCCCTTCTCAGTTTCTCCTTCTCCTCTATCCCCACCAGGAAAATCCTAAAAAGAAACAGCACTGGATGGTGAACTGAGCAATTGTACCATTGCCCTGGAGGGCGGTGTAGCCTTGGGAGCAGTTCCAGCTCACTGCTCTGCTTTTGTCTCTAGTGAGAACTGCAATCTTACCAGTGATGTCATTGTTATCTAGTGCTTTCTCCACCACAGCAGCACACAATTTTGTTTAGACTTTTCAGAGATTATGAAGAAAGAAGAAAAAAAGATTCCTTGCTGACAAATATGATTTAAGAACGTAAATTGGCTAGATACTTCAAATAAGTAGGCTTTCCTGTAATCAAGGAA